TTGGGGAGGTGAAGAGTTCCGGTTTGGAGCATGTGGAGCTGCCTTTGGAGCTGAGCAGCGGCAGCACAACCACAAGGCAATCCTCCCTTGTGAATGGGGGAGAGGAGGCCAATGATGCAGAGGAAGAAGAGGAGGAGGTGCAGCAAGTGAGCGAGCGTGCACCGTCACTCCCTTCCCGTACTACGAGTGCTCCACGGATTCGAGCCACACCGCAGCAACGCCAAGGCCTTCAAGTCCCTGCAGCTGAGGAGGAAGGAAGGGGGAAGAGGAGAGTTCAACCCCCTAATAGGCTGACCTATGATGCGCCGGGAAAGCAGGGCAAGACAGCCCTGGCCGGAGCGGCAATGATGGTCGGAGACGACGAGGAGAGTGACTACGAGGAGTGTGCCTTCGCGTTCTTCTCTCCGGTGGAGATGCCGGGAGAACCAGCAACTCTCAAGGAGGCTTTGGAGAGTAGTGATGCTGAGGAGTGGAAGAAGGCCATGGAGAGTGAGCTGAAGAGCATCGAGGAGAATGACACGTTTGAATTGGTGGAGCTACCGGAGGGGCGTACGGCGATAACGTCCAAGTGGCTCTTCAAAATCAAGTCGGATGCCGACGGCAAGATCGAGCGCTACAAGTCTAGGCTTGTAGCCAAGGGGTACCAGCAGAAGGAGAAGGTGGACTTCAAGGAGCTGTTTGCCCCTGTGGTGAAGCCGACGACGCTGCGAACCCTATTCGCGGGAGCCGCCATCAAAGGATGGGTAGTAAAGCAAATGGACATCGTAACGGCATTCCTTAACGGCATCCTTGAGGAGGAGATTTTTATGGCGCAGCCAGAGGGGTTTGATGATGGTAGTGGCAGAGTGTGGAAGCTGAAGAAGGCCCTCTATGGGCTGAAGCAGGCCCCTAGGCAATGGTACATGAAGCTGCGCGAAGTGTTGGAGGGGATCGGCTTCACTCCCTCAACGGCCGATCACTCCTTGTTCATGCTTGGCGAGGGGGAGCAGAGGAGTTTCATGGTGGTTTATGTGGATGACATCCTCATTTTCTCACCCTCTTCTGACCTTGTGAAGGAGGTGATGCTGAAGCTTCAAGACAAGTTCAAGTGCAAGGCCCTTGGTGACGTGAGCTTCTACCTTGGGCTCCACATCGAACGAGATGTGGAGAAGCGGTGCATGCGGGTGCATCAACGAAAGTACCTGGAGGCATTGGCTGCCAACTTTGGGCAGAGTGAAGGCCATGTGGCTACACCCTTTCCCTCTGGGTTCAAGTGTGTGAAGGGACCAGAGGAGGAGAGCGTTGGTGAAGAGGAGAGGCGCCGATTTCACTCGTTGGTGGGCAGCCTCATGTATGCGGCGGTAAACACCCGACCGGACGTCACGTTTGCTACCGGGCAGCTGGCTAGGGTTGTGCAATGCCCTAATGAGGAGCAGGTAGCAGCTGGAATGAGGGTGGCCAAGTATCTTGGCCAAACACCGACCGTTGGGCTGCAATACTCGGCGGCGGCACAAAGGCGCCAAAAGGGCGCGGATGGTGTTGAACCCGGGCGTTTGTTCCTCACCGCCTACTCGGATGCTTCATATGCATCAGAACCAGAGGACATGACAAGTGTGGGAGGCTTCATATGCTGTGTTGGTGGAGGCCCAACTGCTTGGGAGAGCAAGAAGCAGGTTGACCAAGCTTTGAGCTCGGTGGAGTCCGAGTACATGGCACTCTTCCGTGCCGTACGGGAGATTGTGTGGCAGCGGCGTTTGTTGGCTGAATTGGGGGAGGAGCAGCAAGGACCTACCCCACTGTACTGTGACAGCCAGGGTGCCATTGCTCTTGCTAAGAACCCTGTGTTGCATGGACTCACGAAGCACATGAGGGTGAAGTGGCATTGGACGAGGAGCATGGTAACCGCGGGTGAAGTTGAGTTGCGCTACGTGAAGACCACGGGGCAGCCGGCTGACATGATGACCAAGAGGCTGGTGGAGCAGCAGCATTGGAAGTGTTGCAAGCTGGCTGGGATGGCTCTGAACTGAGAGAGCAACATATCCTAAGGCCAACAATCCGAGGGGGAGTTTGTTGGTGCAACCCTACGGTTTGCACTCGGCTTGTTGTCCGTGTGCGTGAATGTGTGTGTGTATGGAATGGTATGAGGGCATGGGATAATATATATTTCATGCTTATAATTGTGTGTGAATGTTGAGTCATGATGTCGAGTGTGTGTGTCGAGTCAATAGCGAGTTATCGCTAGACGCGTGTTACGCGGTCGTTTGTGTCTCGCGCGCGGTTTCTATTTTGTCGTGCGCGGTTTCTATTTTGTCCTGTGTCGAACGTTCGGCGTGTCACAGGTGTGTGCAGCAGACCCATCAAGAACTCAAGGATGAGTTTGTGATGAAGAGCCCGAGCCTTGGTGTCAAGCCTCAAGTGATTTCGAAGCTTGCCAAAAGGGTACACCTCAAGATATTGAAGATAGTTACATTACTTTGTGTAGTGTAACGTTTCACTTGGTGTAGGCCCTAGTGAAGGGTAGTTTCGAGACCCTTCGTGGTTGGGGACAGTGTGGCACTGTTCCACATCACTGTACCTCGGCTCTTGGGGTTTGTAGGAGCTGGGAGTCATTCCCAACTCGTAACTCTTCCTATCTTGTGTTCTAAGACTATAGTGGCTGCCATAGTACCGTTCGTTCAAACCGACGCTGTGTCGTCAATTCTTTATCAAATCGTGCAATCTAAATTGCTAATTGTAGACGACGTAAAGACGCTCCAGATCCAATTTGAATAAAGTCATTTGCAGCTGTGAGCAGAACGCTATCAACGTTTGAATCCGCTGTGCAGAAATCCGTCTGTGCTCTCTATCTTTCGTTTTAGGCACATTCAAGCCTATTGTGACTATAACAAACCCTAGAAAACTGTACCCCATATGTGCTACCCCACTATAGCCTACAGTAGCTATGTCATATAAATCTGACAAGATCGGCTGCGCCCAAGCGACGGCGGGGCCTTTCTCTTCGACAATCCGCAGGCGTCAGATCGAAAGCTACCTTCATCAACGGCTGACATTACAACCATTTCATCCAAATTCGCCCAATGTATTTTAGCCGTCGAATTCAGCTGAAAAGGATATCAACGGTATCCTCGCTAGTGTGAGACCTATTTCAGTACAGGGCTGCCTTATTTAGAAGGTGGGAGAGTGTAAGGAATCACAATTCTAACTGTATTCGCACTTTAGCGAGTACAACCCGAGGAGCACGCGTAAGTTCGGTTCGGCCTATTTCGTTGCCCCAAACCACTCCCGAGTCGCCCTCGCTCCAATCGCAACACTTTCCGAGCCATCCTCGCTCGACCTCTTCGCCTAGCTAGGATTTTTCCTCTTTAGGCTCGCTACTTTCCTTGTACCGTCATTCAATATTCATCATTCTCGATATTCGTTATTCCGCGCACTCTGCAAGTTCATCCATAACAGGTTCGGCCTACAATTTTGCACCCAAACCACACAGAGTCGCCCCCGCACCAAACGCAACCTTTCGCGAGCCATCCTTTCCCGACCTTCCCGCATTGCTAGGATCCTCCATATTAAATCCAGCCACTTTCGTTGTAAACTCATTCAGTAGTTTGACATTATCGATATTCGTTATTCTGCGGACTCTGCAAGTTCATTCATAAAAAAACACGTGGTTTCGTAGATGTGGTAAATGTGGGGAAGTTCGAGTAAGGGTGATTTGTTTTTCCCAAAACATTTGACGTAGATAAGTGGCTCTGCACTTACCTCATAAGAGCTTTAGGACGTGTTGCAATTCGCGGTGCACTGCATCGGCTCGGCTCGGGGCACGGGTTTACGAGGGCTCCAGGAAAGCAAGTGGCCGTAAAATGTTTACAGAAAACGTTTTATGGCCAAATATAATCATTTACTCCTGGGCGCAAAAACGTTTTATGTATCAGTTTGTACAAACATGAATCTCTCAAGGACCTAAACAGAAAGAGGAAAAGGAGGGAAAGAAAGACTCAACAAGGAGAAGGGAAATGAAGAAAGAAAGGGAGAAGGAAAGCGAAACTGCCACAAAGAAACCAAACGCAACACTCATAAAACCCCCCCTCAAGATACCCAATCAAAACCCCCAATCAAGACACCCCATCAAGACGTCCCATCCCACACCCCATCCCCCCCCCCCCCCCCCCCCCCCCCCCCCCCCCAATCACAACAGCGTATCCACCATGTACGGGGCCTCCACCCAAAGAGCCCCGCCTTCCACATCGACATCGTCCCTCTCCCGATCGACCAAGTCTACGTTAATTCCCCCCACGTTTTATGTCCTAATATAATCTTGGCAAATAACTCTTTAAATCATTATCAAAAACCTTTATTTGCCGATTCAGTGCCCAGGTTTCGCCTCCAGCCTGCCTGGAGCCTTCCAACCGTCCCGAGCCGGCAAGTGCAACACGTCCTTTAGGTGGGAGCAATTCCCGGTGCACTGCATCGGCTCGGCTCGAGTTGGCTCGGCTCGTGCCAGCCTCGCGCCTCGGGAACTTCGAAATTTCGTCATGAAATTCGAGGTAGTTGTGAAGCGATTTCCTGACACGAGTCAGGAACAGATTGGCGATGGCAGGGTGGCGGATTGGCAGCGGGTGTTAATTTGCTGGCACGTGCCAGGTCTTGCTGGCTCGAGCCAAGGCGATGCAGTGCACTGACTCGGCTCGGGGCATGCCGTGCCAAGTCAGTGCACCGCATTGACTCGGCCTCCCGCTTGCCTGGAGCCTTCTAAAACCCGTGCCCCGAGCCGAGCCGACGCAGTGCACCGGGAATTGCAACACGCCGTTAGGGGTGGGAGTGCTAGAAGTCTACATGGCAGACGGAACATTATTGTTGACCACAATAATTGTTGCACCACCTGGAAGCCAGAACTCGTTCCTCGTCGGTGTAGTCTCGCGAAACTGCGCGAAAAGCGGAGCAGTCATACGCACTCCATTCACATATGGGACAATTATGGGACCTGCGGGTTGCCGGGTTGCCGGACTCGCCAGTCGGCTCCAGGAATGTGTCCCGGAATCCAGGAGGACCGTCGGACTCAGTCGGCTTCGGGACAGTGCTCAGGACAGCTGGCCAGTCTCAGTGTCCTAAGCCCTCCAGTCATTTAACCGAGTCATTCTTGGCACAACTTCATAGCAGTGCTACTCTTACTCTCAGCTACTACTAGCTTCGCACACATCACGCTCATTTTCGGAGCATCTTCCGCCAGTCGTGTGTTTCCGCCAGCAACCACGCCAAGATCAACGCGCCGCGCATCATCCCTCGCCACGTCATCATGGCGTTCCTCGCCTGCGTGCTGCTACTCACCGCGCTCCTCTCCACCACCGCCATCGCCACGGCCCTGGATGGCGATCATAGCAGCAATGTGGTGGCCAAGCGCCGGTCGCGCGTCTCGCCCGATGCCACATCATTCGTCGCAGACCTTCGTCGTCCGTCCGTCGCTCGTCGCCTGAGCGACGGAGTGGCGCGGCCACCCGCGGCGAGCCCGCCGGGCGATGTGAAGCTCGCACTTTCGCAATGTGAGTCGCCTTCGTACACGATAAACGTCACCCACGATCATGGTTTATAACCAAAAAGTACACCGGTCTGGCATGTGCCATTGTTTCGCCTCAGTCATGCCTGCATGATCGCAACTCCAAAGGCTTCTTCTCCTCCCTTACTCTCTCCGTCCCCCTCTCTCTGGCCTCTACCCTTCCCCTCCCCCTCCCCCTCCCCCTCCCCCTCCCCCTTCCCCTCCCCCTCCCCCTCCCCCTCCCCCTCCCCCTCTCTCCCGTCGGCGGAACTGGCAGTGGCGGCGCTGGTGGCGCTGACGGGGTGGAATGCGACGGCCGAGCTGTGCTCCGAGTGGACAGAGACGGGCGGCGTCACGTGCAACGACAGAGGCATGGTCACCAACATGTGAGACACACGCTGACTTCAGGGCTGTATATGCTGCTGCTGGGTCTAACAGGCGCTGAGTGTGTGTGCACGTGTGTGCATGTGTGTGCACGGGTGTGCATGCGTGTGCACGTGTGTGCATGCGTGTGCACGTGTGTGCATGTGTGTGCACGTGTGTGCATGCGTGTGCACGTGTGTGCATGCGTGTGCACGGGTGTGCATGCGTGTGCACGTGTGTGCAAATCCCCACCAACATAACTCAAGTCAATCCCCGGCCTCGTCATCCCATGCTGCATGCCGCTGTGCTGCGCGCTCTGCTACCCCATCTGTGATTCTCTGTGCTTCAGAGAGCTGCAAGAACCCATCTCTGCACACACCCTCACCCCGCCTGGACGCCTGCCCGCTGACATCGCTGCCTTCACCGCCCTCCAAGTCCTGTCAGTCCCTCCTTCCGCTCGTCGTTCTCGCGTAACAGCTCCCTTCCCCATTCTCCCCACCCTCCTCCACCCAACCTTTTGATATGTTCGAAACGCACCCTTCGCTCTTTTTTCCACTGGCTCACTCACCTTCATCAGATCAGACCATCCACCCCCCTACGATCGCCCCCCCTCAGCCGTCTCCTCTTCTCCTTCCCTGCAACCCACCTCGCCAGGAAGCTAGGCAGCCAGAACCTCTCGGGCCCCATCCCCATGGACGCATTCCGCAACCTCACCTCTCTCCAGGAACTGTGAGCTGCGCCATGCCTTGCCGTACTAGATTCTCACCTCGCATGTTCCATCCTCTTGCTCCTCTTTTAATTATTTGATTATATATAAATGTGTGTGTGTGTGTGTGTGTGTGTGTGTGTGTGTGTGTGTGTGTGTGTGTGTGTAGATATATATACTCTTTCGTTGTCAAGAACCTCCAACCTCAGGACCATATTGCGCCTCTTGCTCCCTTCCTCTCTCTCCCACATCCTGTGACCGATGGTTCTCATGCTGATAAACCTCCTCCTCATCTCCCATTAACCCTCTGCACCCTCCTCACCCCACCACCTGGCAGCGATCTCTCCTCCAACCCTTTGAATGGCACCATGGAGTTTCTTGCCTACCTGCCCGCCTTGCAATACCTGTACGCCCCCGTTCCCCGATCCCCTTTTGATATGATAACTTCTAAGAGTGCACGGCTGTTCATTCCTCCCGCACATGCCAGCGCTGAATCGCTTTTATTGTCTTCACATACACTTAGTCTCACGCATGCGCACTCAACCCCCCTTCTGTCCTCCCACACGGCAGTAATCTCCAGGACACAAAGCTGAGTGGGGAGATCCCCGCCGCCCTCGGCAATGCCACCGCCCTCTCATACCTGTGAGTCACGGCCTTCCCTCACGGCAATCGCCTCTCCCCCTCTGGAGCGTACATGTGTCAGCAACAGGGGTGGTGTGTGAAAGGCGTGAGAGGAGGTGTGCATTCATTTGAGAGAGTGGGTTGTCTATCGCCTTGACTAGGCAGCCAGGTTGAGAGCCACGTGCACTGGTGTGCCCCTCACTCCCGCCCGTTTGCGCTCACTCCTTTCGCTTGTGCCTTGGCCGCTCCTTAGTGTAGTGTGTGCTCTGTCTCCCTCCAATTCGCGTCGCTACTCAGCGGTCGCTTTCACTATGGTTCTCCTCTCCTGTCTTCACGTTTCCTCCCCTCACTTTTTTTCTCTCTCTTAATTCTCTTCTCATCTCCTTCCCTTTCTTCTCTCTTCTCCTTTACTCCCCTTTCCTCTCCTCTGTTCTCCTCTCCGCTCTCTGGTCTCTCCTCTCTTCCCCCACCAGCTCCCTCGCATTCAACTACCTCACTTCAGGGGAGCTCCCTGACTCTCTCTCCGCCCTCACCAGACTCGCCCACCTGTACGTACAGGCCATCGCGGCTTGCTGGGGCCATCTCTGCTTCCTTCTGTGCCTCGCCCTCTCTATGCTTGCTGCATCGCACCAAGTAGGGTGTAACGCATTGCATCATGAGTTGGCACATGAGTGCTTGTTGCTCATTCGGGATCTGCTGATGCAATTTCTACCCAGTGAATAGGTTATAGAAAGTAGCTCATATTGCTTGTGCGTGCAAGCAACGTTACCTACCAGGCCCCTTTCTGCCCCCCCCATCATACAGTGACCTGAGCTATCTCAAGTTCTCCAGCCATCGTGGATCGCACAACTTCCCCAGCTGCAGTTCCTGTAATTACTACCACCAACCCTCCTCTTTCCCCCCGTTTCTTCTTTTCTTTTCGCCAGCATTGTTTCTCAGGTGTGACTCTCACGTTGCTCTAGGCTGTAGCAATGCTCTCACGTTGTCGACCCCTCGTTGCACTAATGGTCTGCAACACCCACCCACCATGCTCTCTGCACACCAGCCACCGTGCTATTTCCACACCACCCACTATGTTCTCTCCTCACCTCACCACCCGCCTTACCCTCTCTCCTCTCTGCAGGGATGTGACAGCACCCGATGGCCTCACCCCCGCGCGCTCCTCGCCATTTCCAGCCGACTGGATGGCTCTCACCAGCCTCAACTCCCTGTGAGCTGCCTCCTTCCTACCCGCCCACCCTGCGTGCCTGCTGCTCGAGTGTCACGTCACTCTGCCTGCGGCCCTCAATTCACCTTGTAATGTGTATCGAGGCCACAGACTGCCAGCAGCAGCTGCTACTAAAACAGGGGCACGCACGCACAGCGGCAGCAGGCTCAGGTGGCGGGTCGACCCGCGTCACGACCGGCTCATTTGAACGAGCCTGTTTGGCCGCCCTTTCACCCTGTGTGTGTCCCATATGATTCTGATTTCCAGCTCCCCCACTAATTCATAACTCCTGGTTCTCTGCTCTGCTCTCTGCACACCCCACCCCACTCTCCCCCCCATCGCAGGATGGCGTCGGGTAACGGCTTCTCGGGCTCCCTCCCCGCCGCCATCTCCGCCCTCACCGCCCTCTCAGAGCTGTACGTCTTCCTTCCATGAGTCCTCAGCACATGTCTCATTAGCAGATCGTGCCTTACCTCGCCACCATCTCAGCCCTCACCGCCCTCTCAGAGCTGTACGTCTTCCTTCCATGAGTCCTCAGCACATGTCTCATTAGCAGATCGTGCCTTACCTCGCCACCATCTCAGCCCTCACCGCCCTCTCAGAGCTGTACGTCTTCCTTCCATGAGTCCTCAGCACATGTCTCATTAGCAGATCGTGCCTTACCTCGCCACCATCTCCGCCCTCACCGCCCTCTCAGAGCTGTACGCCTCGGCCACGCCTCTCATGACTGCTCCAGCACCTTCTCTTCTCATCACCACACTCGCTCGCGCCTTACCCTTACTATGTCGCTGATTCGCAGCAACTGTGCCGTTGTGCCTTGTATTCTGTAACCTGAACCGTGCAGCATCTCTCCCTCGCTCTCTGTGCTGTGCGCCTGCTGACTGCCTGACTGCCTGCCTGCCTGCCTCTCTGCCTGCCTGCCCGCCTGCCTACCTGCCTGCCTGCCTGCAGGGTGCTTTATAATAACGCCCTGGTTGGCTCCCTGCCTGTGCTGCCCTCGTCTCTGGTTTCCCTGCGAGTAAACCATGAGGAGAGGTCGGCTGGGAAGAGGAGAGGCATGTGGATACTGGGCGATAGAGACTGTGCTCCTGGGCTCCCTGCCTGCCTGCTTGTCTTGGCCGTAAACGTAAACCTTGCTGCTGGTGAATCCCTGAATCTGCTGCTGACTGTGCTCTGTGCCATCCTTCCGTGCTTGTCCATTCGATCCAAACAGTGCATGCGTCCTGCGTGCTGCCGTCACAGCGCGCACGTGCATACATGAGTTCCTTCCCACTTCGCATGGACGTCCCTCCCTCCCCAATAACCCATCTGCTGTGCGCCCTTGCGTTGCGTTGCCCCCCATTGGCCCCGGTGCTGCGATCAGCGTGCTGAGCCACAACGACATGGAAGGCCCCTTCTCCGCCCCTCTTGCCTCCCTGCCACTCATGGAGGAGATGTGAGTGCCGCTTGTCGCATGTGACATGCATGGGCATGGGAGGCATGGGAGGCATGGGACGCATGGGAGGCATGGGAGGCATGGGAGGCATGGGAGGCATGGGAGGCATGGGAGGCATGGGAGGCATGGGAGGCATGGGAGGCATGGGAGGCATGGGAGGCATGGGAGGCATGGGAGGCATGGGAGGCATGGGAGGCATGGGAGGCATGGGAGGCATGGGAGGCATGGGAGGCATGGGAGGCATGGGAGGCATGGGAGGCATGGGAGGCATGGGAGGCATGGGAGGCATGGGAGGCATGGGAGGCATGGGAGGCATGGGAGGCATGGGAGGCATGGGAGGCATGGGAGGCATGGGAGGCATGGGAGGCATGGGAGGCATGGGAGACGACGAAATTAGCCCACAGGCATCTTTGCCACTCCATCCCTCCCGTCCGACAGGCAGATGAGCCACAACCGTTTTACATGGCCCATCCCAGCGTCATTCTCAGGCCTTGCTGCCCTCATCGTTGTGTGAGTCCCTTCAACCCACCTGGAATCTCCATCTCCCACCTCCATTTCCCACCTCCATTTCCCACCTTCGTGCCACCTCCATTCCCAGCCGTCAAGTCATGGCTGTGCGTATCTTGCATCATGAAGTGTGGGTTGGTCGGATCGGATGCACCGCCCCAACACCCCCGAATACCCGCCATATCCAACTCACTTCCACACGTACACCTCCCTCCCACACGCTTATATCCTCGCTTCTTCTTTCGTCTCCCCTCTCCTCTCCCCTTGTCCTCTCCCCCCCTTCTCTCCCCCCCTTCTCTCCCCCCCTTCTCTCCCCCCCTTCTCTCCCCCCCTTCTCTCCCCCCCTTCTCCCCCTCCCTTCTCTCCCCCCCTTCTCACCCCCCCTTCTCTCCCCCCTTCTCTCCCCCCCTTCTCTCCCCCCCTTCTCTCCCCCCCTTCTCTTCCCCTTTCTCTCCCCCCCTTCTCTCCCCCCTTCTCTCCCCCCCTTCTCTCCCCCCATTCTCTCCCCCCCTTCTCTCCCCCCCTTCTCTCCCCCCCTCCACAATCTCTCCCGGCAGGAATGTGAGCTACAACGATCTGTCAGGGCCCATCCCACCATCCTTCGCAAACCTTCCTGCCATCGGCGATGTGTAAGCCCCGTCCCGTGCATTCCATTCCATTCCACCCATGCCATGGTACCTCCGCCTCCCACCTTCCTCTCCCACATCCATCGCAAATGTGTAAGTCTGTGCAGAGCAGCTTATACCTTCCACGTCCATGCCTCACCCCTGCCATGCACCCATGCCCCATTGCCCCCACAGGGATATCAGCCACAACCCCCTCTCTGGCGCTGGCCTGGACGTGCTTGCACGCATGACCCAAATGTCCACCCTGTGAGCACCACGCTGCATTGCGCCCCGTTGCGTTGCGTTGCGTTGTGTCCCGCCTGCGAGTGTGATTCGAGCATCCTCCTTGCCTTGTGCCGTGCCATGCCACTTGCCTCTTTCTCTGCTCTACTGCTCTGTCCCCGTTGCTGCTCGGCCTTGCCGTTTCCTTTTGTTCCTGCGTGCGCTGTCCGTGTGGGGAGGGGCATCAGGGGGCCCCACCCCAGCAAACGTCCCCCCCTCACCCTCCTCGCAGCCACACTACCTGTGTTGACCCCCCTCCTCTGCCCTACCTGCCCTGCCCTGCCCTGCCCTGCCCGCCCCACAGCTACATCGGGTCGTGCAACTTCTCAGGCGAATTCCCTTCTTCTCTCGCACGTCTCCCCCTCTACGAACTGTATGACACGTCTCCTCCCCACCCCACGTCACTTTGACGCTTCTCCCACACTCTTCTCCATCACTTTGCTCCCTCACTCTGGTCCCACAGTGCACACCACACACTCACATTCACATCCACCCGACCTTCCTCCTTCCCCCCCTATTCCTCTCCTCTCTCCCTCTCCATTCAGCTAACCCATCTTGCCCTCTCCACCCTCACTTCCCACCCTCTTCCTTACCCTTCCCGCCCTCCCCTCCCTACCCGTCCTCCTGTCTGACCCCCCTGCCCTTCCGCCACCCTCCCCTGCCTGCCCTCTCTCTCCTCCCTACCCTCCTTCGCCTCCCTACTCCCCCTCTCTTTCCTGCTCCCTCCTCTCTGCAGCGACATATCCAACAACAGCTTCACGGGGCCCTTCCCCTCCGCCATGCTATCTGCACCACGCTACAGCCTCCTGTACGCACACACGCATGCCTGCCCCTGCTGCATGCTCTCTCACTTCTGAGAGCTCTCCTGCGCGCTCATCGCAACCTCGCACCCCCCGCACCTGCTCATCGCGCCTGTGTCACGCACAATTGTGGGGCTTGCACGCCATGCAGCCCCACTCTAGTCTCCAGCACTCTCCCATCAAGCCATCACACATGCCTCTCCCATCTTGTTATAAAATCTCGGTTTATGAAGCGTTTCTTTTTTTTTTTCTTGCTTTCTTTAATTCTTTTGAATCTCCTATGTCTCGACCCAGCAAGAATCATCCTCGGTACTCTGAATTGCGTTCGGCTGGAAGCAACGGTTGCATGTGATACACTCAACCGCCTGTGCTGCCTCCTCTCCTTGCAGCAATCTATCGGCCAACAACTTCTCGGGCCCGCTGCCCCCACAGCTCACCACGCTCACAACAGTCAACAGCTTGTGAGCCTTCCGTTCCATTCAATGCCTTCGAGATGCCTCCTGCTTGCATGCCTTTGAGTCACAGCTTTGTCCATCTTGTTTTTTACGTATTTTATGCTGACAGTGCTGGTTTAAAGCCCTCCCTCCCTCCCCCTCCTCCCCCACCCCAACAAACCCCCAACCCCTCACCCCCCCCCCAACCTCTCCCAACGCATGCATCCCCACCCCATCAGGGACATCTCTCACAATCAGTTCACTGGAGTTGTGCCCCCTGCCGTCTTCACCCTGCCTTCGCTAATGTCCCTGTAAGCCCACTCACTTCCACCCTCGCTGTGCATCCCTTGCTGCTGCCGTGCATCCCTTGCTGCTGCCGTGCATCCCTTGCTGCTGCCGTGCATCCCTTGCTGCTGCCGTGCATCCCTTGCTGCTGCCATGCATCCCTTGCTGCTGCCGTGCATCCCTTGCTGCTGCCGTGCATCCCTTGCTGCTGCCGTGCATCCCTTGCTGCTGCCGTGCATCCCTTGCTGCTGCCGTGCATCCCTTGCTGCTGCCGTGCATCCCTTGCTGCTGCCGTGCATCCCTTGCTGCTGCCGTGCATCCCTTGCTGCTGCCGTGCATCCCTTGCTGCTGCCGTGCATCCCTTGCTGCTGCCGTGCATCCCTTGCTGCTGCCGTGCATCCCTTGCTGCTGCTGTGCATCCCTTGCTGCTGCCGTGCATCCCTTGCTGCTGCCGTGCATCCCTTGCTGCTGCCGTGCATCCCTTGCTGCTGCCGTGCATCCCCTGCTGCTGCCATGTGTGCTTGCTTCATCCCCCTCCCACCAACCCCCCCCTCCACTCCTCGCCCCAGCTCCCTCGCTCACAACCAGCTTGAGGGCTCCCTGCCTGCAACCAACCTGTCGGAATACCTCATCTCTTTGTAAGCACACATGCCATGGCACACATGCCGGGACTGGATAAGCCTGACTGCCTTGTGGGGGTGGGCTTCACTTGACCAAGTGGAGCAAAGCAGAGTGCCCCACGCGCTCTTGCCTCTCTCCTCTGCCTCCTTACCGTCTTCTGTATTTCATGCTTCTGGTTCTGCATGCCCCTATCTTTCTTGAGAGTACGGTCAGTTGTTATAACCTCACGTTCCACCCACCCAAGCATGGTGTCTGTCCGTTCAAACTCCATTTTGCCGCAACGCAAACACCACCCACCCAAGCAAAAGCATCCCCGCCGCCACTCTCCCCTCCCCTCCCACCGTCGCTCCCCTCACCAGCGACATCAGCAACAACAACTTCAGCGGGCCTCTGCCGGAGTCCATGACCCGCCTCATCTTCCTGAAGTCCCTGTAATGAACCAGGCAGGGGGGGTGGGGAAGGAGGCTTGGCTTGGGAAGGGCGATACATTCACGTGCTATCCATAACCTTGTGCAACTCTGTGGGGTATACGGCTTGCAGGCACTGTGACGCGTCGAGCCGCTAGCTGAAGTACTCATGTGTGGGTCGCTTGGCTTTGCATGGGATGATGTGCAATGGCATGGCATGGCATGGTGTAATATTGACTGGCATGGCATGTGATGGCATGAAATGAAATGGCAGGGGCCTTGGAGGAAACAACTTGACTGGTCCCATATCTCCTGTCTTTGGCGTCTTGGACAACCTTTATTCCTTGTGAGTCCCGCACCCATGCTCCCATGCACCCATGCTCCCATGCACCCATGCTCCCATGCATGCATGCTCCCAGGCACCCATGCTCCCATGCACCCATGCACCCATGCTCCCATGCACACATGCACCCATGCACCCATGCACACATGGATGCACCTATGCACCCATGCTCCCATGCTCCCATGCACCCATGCTCCCATGCTCCCATGCACCCATGCTCCCATGCACCCATGCTCCCATGCTCCCATGCACACATGCAATCATGCACCCATGCACACATGGATGCACCTAGGCATCCATGCTCCCATCCTCCCATGCTCCCATGCACCCATGCTCCCATGCTCCCATGCACCCATGCACCCATGCTCCCATGCTCCCATGCTCCCATGCACCCATGCTCCCATGCACCCATGCTCCCATGCACCCATGCTCCCATGCTCCCATGCACACATGCACCCATGCACCCATGCACACATGGATGCACCTATTCATCCATGCTCCCATGCTTCCATGCACCCATGCTCCCATGCTCCCGTGCACCCCATGCTCCCATGCTCCCATGCTCCCATGCTCCCATGCACCCATGCTCCCATGCTCCCATGCTCCCATGCAGCCATGCTCCCATGCTCCCATGCACACATGCACCCATGCACCCATGCACACATGGATGCACCTATGCATCCATGCTCCCATGCTCCCATGCACCCATGCTCCCATGCACCCATGCTCCCATGCACCCATGCTACCATGCTCCCATGCACACATGCACACATGGATGCACCTATGCATCCATGCTCCCATGCTCCCGTGCCTCCATGCATCCATGCCTCTCTAGTGCAGGTGGCACATCACCCATCTTTAATACTACAGCCAGATCTGTGCTGCTTAAAGCCACGCCACTCTCCCCACATATTGGACAATTTTCAGCGCATGAGCATGTTGCACCGGCCACGCTTCCTCTTCCCTACCTTTCGCTCTTGCGCCTCACTTATCTGCATCCGTTTTGCCCTCTTCTCCCCTCTCCACTGGTCTCCTCACCTCTCTGGCCCCCTCCATTCTCCACTTCCCCCCCTTCCCCCCCACACCGCCAGCAACACCTCTGGCTCGGGGCTGACCTGCCCGGCAGACGGCAGCAAGTGTGGGGTGAAGCAGAGCAACGCCTCCTCCTTCTGCCGCCTCTGCTCCTCCTTCTGCTCCTCCTGCACGCCCCTCAAATGTATGTGGCCGTGCCATGGTGCATGTGGGTGCTTGCTTGCTTACACCCGCAGATGCATGTTGTGCATAGATGCACATTACTGAATATGTGTAGTTCATGGGTGCATATGAATGATCCAGGGATGTGTATGCAGCTTTTGTGTGCTGGTAGTTGAGTAACTGTCTGACACTGCATGCGCTTTGTCCCATGCTCCAGGGGCAGCACTTACAGCAGCTCCAGCACCTGAAGCAGCACCGGCATCAACTGCAGCACCGGCATCAACTGCAGCACCAGCATCAACTGCAGCACCGGCATCCCCAGTGCCTCAGCCACCATCTGCTTCCACCCAGACTCCTCCTGTCCCTCCTCCCCCCAAACCTGCTTCCCGCCTTTCCACGCCCACAGTTGCTGCTTTCAGCCTCTTTGCTGCTGCTGCCCTCTCTCTCCTTGCATTTTCTGTCTGAGAAGAAGCTTCTGCGCATCCTCTTCGTCTCTCTTTATGTTTTACGAGGTGATGGTTGTTACGACGACCAGCATCCGTACCATTTCCAAATATTCCCACTACACTGGGACATGAGCAATACTTAGGGAGTGGAGTGGACCGGAACTCAAAGTGACAACATCAACGCTATTTCTAGATTAGTCATAAAGAGAATTCTCAGAAGGTGAACGCAACGGAATGGGCTTGATTAGGGAAGGAGGAGGGTACAAATGCAAACCCGAACAACCTATACTCTCTAATGCATGCATCACTACAGCCTATACAAACATATATGTTTGACACACCCCCACAGGCTAATTGAGGGATAGCAAGAGAGAGCAATAAACACACATGGTCACAAGACCAGTCAAGAGAAGCAACCAGACAACGCTCAGGGTGGATCTCAATATCACCACACATTCCGAGCACAAGCAAACGGCCACAAAGCCAGTTCAAGAGTTTACAAATATATATAGATGCAAGGACAAGCAGAGTGTTACGATATGAAATTACATGAGTAGGCATTCCTGTATGCTGCAGGAGCCGACTCTACAGAGTACGAAGTCGAGGAGTCAGAAGAGTCGAAGCGACGCAGCAACCGTCTGACCAAGACCGATGCAGGCAGAAACATTTGAAGTGAAAAGAGCGGGAACAGGTTTGAAACGGGTTCCCGCGCCGCACGGTTTGAATTTGGTTAGAATAAGGGAATGTACCCCTTAGAGTACATGGCTAGTCTAGGTCTTTTCGTATTCCCCTGTACTCTTATATAAACCCGATGTATGCATGCTATTATCAACTCAGTCATTTACATTCACTCTGACCTGAGATTCAAACTTCCGCTGCAACACTACTCTGCGATCAACCCTGAGCGATCCTTCGCTAAGTCCCACTTGGGATTGTAACATGGTATGAGAGCTACTCAGGGATTCTTCGCATCACCACTTCCTTGAAATTCGCCGAACCAAGATCTGGCGAGCGGCACACGCTCCAAGACCAAGATGGCCGGAGGATCCGGAGGCCAAGCCAATCTGACGGCTGAAGGACAAACCAACCCGGCTGCGACAAATGAGGCGACAACTACGATTGGCACTGCCGCTCTCGAGCAACTTTTCGCTCGACTTTCAACTATGGAGAAAGAACTCCAAGATCTGCGCAAAGGCGATGCGGGAACCTCTTCCCAACCAGTACAACCTGGACAACCGGCTGAGAAAAGCCGTGATACCGCTGCGCATACCTTCTCCCTCGACACAGACAAATGAACAACAACTGCCCCCCGTCCAAGTGATGAAGCCATCAACTCTGCGCAAACACGCTTCCTCAGCGTCTCAAAAATCAAAACTACTGCCGCGTTTGACGGCAAGGACTTCTACACATGGAGTTTCGAGCTTGAGCTCCTCCTACAAACGGCGCAGATTTACCATTACTTCGACGGCTCCTATCCTAAACCGGTGGAAAACACCGAAGTCGCCAGGGCTCAATACTACAGTGAGTCCCTCATGGCCTACAGTGTGCTGCTACGCAACATGACGCCTGCGGAACAACTCAAAATTCGCTCCTACAAAGAGAGCGACGCTCCAGCCTTGGAAGCTTGGAAGCACCTCGTTGAAGTATACCAGCCGAAGGATTCGGTCACCGCCAGCAGGCTTCTGCAGCAACTTTTGGAGATAAAGATGGGGCACGGGGAGAAAGCGAATCCGTATATTAACCGCTGTCGCAACATCCGTGACCAGATCACGAAGCATGGGAGTACAATCTCGGAAGAGATTTTCGTCAACATAGTCCTTCAAGGACTCGGGCCAGAGTGGAAGCCCTGTAAAGCGCTACTCCGACAGCGAGGGACAATCTCAGAAGCCGCGCTATGCGCCGCACTCCTGTCCGAACAGCAGGACATGGATTCGAGCAGAACAAGCTCCGCGCCGCGCCGAGAGCGCCTCGCCTTCTACGCTGACAACTGTGAAGAGCGACGACAACCAAGGCGCCATTATTGCAAAATATGCAAAGTCTTCGGACACTCAACGGATCGATGCAAGTCCCGATCCAACTATCGCCACCCAAATTCCACTCACCACAACAACTGGGTCGGCCGACAGGATGCTCGTCATCCTCAGTCTCAGCAACAAACACCTCGTCCTCCTGCGCAACATCAACATCAGCAAAGTCAAGGACCTCCATCAGGAGCTCCCAGGAACATCATCGCGAACATGACGACGCGCCGACGTGGCACTGCTGAACCTGACGAGGAAAATGAGATTCAAGGAAGACTCCTTGAACCAGAAGAGGGATGGAACAATCCCCTCACTGAAGATTATTATTACCGGTATGACGAAGACGAGCAGGATTGGAACCTGCCAATGACCTTGCGGGAAAGCCCGCCGCATGACAATCAACACTACGTACCGGTGGGATGGAAGGAGGACGAAGACCCTCACTTCTAGAGACGCTACAAGGCGACCCTGGTGACTCCGCGACTGGCGCTACTTCTGCGCAGAAACAACAATGACAACCACAACACCTGGTACCTGGACAGCTGCTGCGGACAGCACATGGTGGGATCTACGCGATACGTCTCGAATCTGAGCCGCGCCCCCCCAACCTACGTCACCGTCGCCAACAACGAGCAGCTGCGCGCCAACTCACAAGGCATTGTTGTACTGCAAGCACGAGACAGCAACACTCACATCTCATTCAACGACGTGCTCTACGTTCCGAATCTCCGCTTCAATCCGCTCTCGGCTGGACAACTTCGCGACTGCGGCGTCATTCTCACCACGGATCTCGCCACACGCAATCTCATTCTCACATACGCCCCGCCAGATAGCCCTCCCGAATCGTTCAAATATCTCGGACGAGCCCGCTCGATCAATGGGATCTATGTCCTGGACTTCGACGTACCACCCTGCCAAGCGTCATCAGACGAGCTCGTGGAACTTGTCCCTCTCGAGTTCGCCTTCACGAACAAGGAATCCTGGGAGCATCCGGACGGACGACCATGGGTTCGCCACAGTCCACATCCCCGCGAAATCAACCTGCACGAGCCGGATATCAATGGACTCTGCACCACCTGCCACACTCCCACGGCGAGCCGCACAGAGCAAGTCGAAAGGGAGTACGCGGCAATTCAGGAAGCGGAGAGCGCCGAGGCAGAACCAACAGGCATGACTACAGAAGAACTCGCGGTGTCGTCCTACCGCATCTTCGGCGAAGCAAACGACGAACTCGGACTTCAGCGAGAGGAGCGGACAGCGCCATCCTCGGAAAACCTCCGGTTCGTTCTACAAGCTAACACCACCACCCTCGACGAAGATGGACGACCACGTCCTTACACCC